TAGGGCAGTAATCATCTTTTTGGGACTGGTTTATTTATGTTAGTATAACGTTTTCAAAGTTCATTCATGTGTACCATGTGACAGAACTCTTTCTTTTTAGGCTGAATAATATTCCATTTGTATGGAATATATAGCATATTTTGTTATTCATTTATCTGTCAATGGTCATTGAGATTATGTCTTAATCAGTTTGGACAACTAAAATAACAGGCTGGGTGACTTAAACAACAAATATTTATTTCTCACAATTCTGGAGGCTGGGAAGTCCAAGATAAGTTGTCAGCAGACTTGGTTTCTGTTGAGAACCTTCTTGGTTTTCAGATGGCCACCTTCTTGTATGTTTACTAGTGGGAATCGGGAGCGCTGGGCTCTTCACCTTCTTTTTTTTTTTTTTTTTTTTTTAATATATTTTATTGATTTTTTACAGAGAGGAAGAAAGAGGGATAGAGAGTTAGAAACATCGATGAGAGAGAAACATCGATCAGCTGCCTCCTGCACATCTCCCACCGGGGATGTGCCCGCAACCCAGGTACATGCCCTTGACCGGAATCGAACCTGGGACCTTTCAGTCCGCAAGCCGACGCTCTATCCACTGAGCCAAACCGGTTTCGGCTCTTCACCTTCTTAATACCATGATAGGGCCTCCACTGTCATGTCCTCAGCTAAACCCATGACCTCCCGAGGGCCCTCCCTCCAAATACCATCACAATGGAGATTAGGGCTTCAACACATGGCTTTTGAGGGGACACAGACATTCAGTCCATAGCAGGTTGCTTCCACCTTTTAGCTATTGCGAATAAAGCTGCTATGAACATAGCTGTACAAGACCTTGCTTTCAATTCTTTGGGGTATATACCCAGAAATGGATTAAGCCAGAGCTACATATAAGAACATGGACAAATCCCAAAAACAATGTTAAATGAAAAAATGAAGTTGAAAAAAATTTATATACCCTTTATATACATTTTTTAAAAATATAAAACAATGCTGTATTTATAGATATATACATGCACATATAATTCATATATGTAATGTTTTTAAATATTACATATACTAGAGGCCCGGTGCACAAAAAGTTGTGCACTCGGGGGGGAAGGGGGTCCCTCAGCCCGGCCTGTGCCCTCTCGCAGTCTGGGACCCCTCGGGAGATAACAACCTGCTGGCTTAGGCCTGCTCCCGGGTGGCAGAGGACAGGCCCAATCCCTAGGTGCAGCCCCTGGTCGGGCTCAGAGCAGGGCCGATTGGGGAGTTGGGGCACCGCCCTCTGTCATGCACAAAGCAGGGCGATCAGGAGGTTGTGATGCCACCCTCAGTCACGCTCAGGGCCTCACTTTCTATCTTGTTCCACTACCACCATTCTCCATGTAACAGTCAGAATAAAATTTTATTAATATAAATCTGATCTCACCATGCCCCTTCTCAGAACCTTTCAATGGGTTTACATCACTCTAAAAAGAAAAAAAAAAATCAAACTTCTTATTACAGTCCCCAGGCCGTTTTATTATGCAATGTAGCCCTTATTCTTTCCCCACCATCATTATTTATCTCCTCAAACTGATTTGTTCCCCTTTTGGAACTTCTTACTACCCCAATTTATATTAATTCATGGTGTATGGGTAATTATTCCTGCAGTCCCCAGCCCTCACTAGAATATAAGTTTCATCAAGGCAGAAATTTTGTTTTTTACTATATCCCTATTGCCAAGAACATTGTTTGACTCATATTAAGTGTGAAATAAATATTTTCTGGATCAATGAATAAGTGAATGATTGCATTTTCATTCAAAAAGGGGAGGAATAACATTTCAGTGGTAAAAAAAAAAAGGTGTAATAAAATGTATGGAGGTTGAAAATTACACAGTACACTATGAACAGTAACAATAGCTAAGACACACTAAGTGCTCATTATGTCTAAGCAGTTCTAAGCACATAGTTTTTTTGGGGGGCGGGGGGGGCGGGTAGGGGGTGTCAGCCTTGCTCTCCTCCTAGGCCCTGCAGACCTATGTGTCCTGGGAGCCTACCCCTAGCCTTAACTGGTTGGATCTGGATGGCATGCTGGCTGAGAAAAGCCTGTTAGCCAGGGGGAGGCAATCATTCTTTTTCTTGAAAATTTGTGCTGAGAGACATGCAGGCTGAGGAAGTTTGAAGATGAGTCATGCTAATGGCAGGGCATTTTTGAGTGAAGGGAACAGCTGCAGAGGTCCTTGAAGCTGCACTGCTAGCTGCCCTTTCTGGACCTTGTTGTTCAATGTTCCTTGGTTTAATGACAGTTACCAGCTATCCTTCTGGTAAAATCCACTCCCTTCATTTTTAAAACGAATATGGACAGGTTTGTCTTGTTGATTATTCATTCTCCTAGAAATACAAAAAGCAAACAATCTCTTAATCAAGGAAACTTGACTGAGATAGTTTTTCCTTTGCAACACTATGAGAGTGTATTACTGTTTCCACTTTACAGATGAGGAGACAGGGCCTGAACGGGCCCAATGCCTTTCCTAAAGTTGTAGAGCAGGAAAGATGCCAATCCTGGCCTGGGTGGCTTTCCTTGCTTTCTGTCTTTCCTTCCTTTCAGAGGGCTCTGAACTGCTATGTGCGGCTGTAGGAAGGGCAGCAAGAGGGCTGTTGTTGAGATGAAGTAAGGAAGACAGGGCCTACGTTTTGGTACCATTTCAGGTAAACTAGAAAATGACACTGATAACAGAGATGGGGCAGAAACCAGATTTCGCTTACTTTTGGATAAGCTCCCATAAAGGCTCTTCATTCTTCCATATCAACAATTGTTGGCAGAGAGAGACTTATACCTATGTGGAATGTCTATATGATTAAAACTTTTTCTCTTTCCATTGACAGAGCTGACAGTTTTTAAAGAATTACAAGATAGTTTTTAGTAACATAAAAAAGGGAGTGTGAACAATATATATTTAGAGATGACTTATCGTTGACTGTCACAGGGTTGGCAACTAGGCAAGTACATTTCTTGTCATTTTTGAAAACTCCCCCTCATTCTTGCATGCCTAGAACAGGTGTGCTGAAGATGGTGTGACATTTGCTAGTAAGTGAGGTTGTGAATACAGAATTCCAGAGGGTTTACTCTGGAATGGGGGGTTGGGGGGAGGGTTAGTAGAGAAAAAGGGATAGGACTGATGAATTAATATTTATTCAAAGAGAGTAATCAATAAAACAAAGAGCTTATGAATAAAAAAATACTCAGAATTCACTCCATGAGGCATTGTGTTCTTACATCCTTGTCCCCGAATAAACCTCAAGGTTACAGTTCTCGATTGCACAGCCAGCAAGAATCAGATGAATAATGAACGGCACTTGAGTGCTTCTAATGGGAAGTAGATGGGCCATGGTAGAAGGGGACCCACCTCACGGTCAGATTGTGAAGACTGGAGTGGTATGGTGTGCCCTGAAACTATAAATAAATGTTATACTACATGCTTTTCTCTTTTCAGAAAATTTGGCGTTGACCTCATCCAAGGTTGGGTCTTGCCTTATCCCCAATGGTCCATTGTCCAGCAAGACAAACGCTGACACTAAAGTTTCCTAGGAGTGAGCCTTCCTAGCACATTATCCAACCAATGCAATCCTTTGGATTGATTTGTGACCAAAAGGGGGAAGCGTGGACAAAAAGGGGTCGTATACCAAATCTGATAAGCTCAGGGGAGGCCTGTCATGGTGGTGGGGGGGGAACCTACAAACTCAGAGACCTCAAGTAACCACACAGGATGGTCTGAAATTAAAATTTCCTCACGGAAAGCGAGTCATGTGTTGTCCTAGGCCAGAGGTCGGCAAACTGCGGCTCGCGAGCCACATGCGGCTCTCTGGCCCCTTGAGTGTGGCTCTTCCACAAAATACCACGTGCGGGCGCGCATGTACAGTGCGATGGAAACTTCTTGGCCCGTGGGCAGAAGTCGGTATTTAGTGGAAGAGCCACACTCAAGGGGCCAAAGAGCCGCACGTGGCTCACGAGCCGCAGTTTGCCGACCACTGGTGTCTCCTTGACAAAGGCCAATCCTTACCTTAACTGGGCCTGTCTATTGTCTTTTTGCATCCGATTAACATACCTTTGGGATGTCGGGGTAATTTCCTTTTTCCAGACCTCTCCGGGCACACTCTGGGGACCGCGGAACCCCTCCTGGTTACTGTTACCGTGTTAATGGGCTGCTCTCTACCCGATCCCCACCAGCGTAAAACAAGTACTGTCTGCGTGCATTCCTTTTACTTTTTATCCAATCCCAGAGATTTCCCCGCTCTGCTTTCTCCCGCCTCCCTAATCTATCACCAATGGATTTCATGTAACCCCCTTACGTCTTCTCCTTTGATTCTAGTGTAGAAAATAAGGAGCCAAACTGCCATTCTCCGGAGCCTAAGCACGGTCCGCTGAGATTTTTGCTCCCCAGCAATCGTCCTCAGTTTGGCTCCAATAAACTCCTAACAATTCTTACAGCTTGGGACGTGTCTTAAACCGACGAGGGGATTAGCCTTCCGGAGGTGCCACCAGTCCCGCACCGTCGGATCGGAACAATAGCTAACCCAGCGCCCGTATTCATATCGTTCCCACACAACTACTCTGGGGGATGGTTGTATTCGCAGCTGCTTCCTCCGGCCGCAGCCACTGCCCCCGACATGTTCCAGCCAGGAGTCCGGCCCAGCTCTTCCGGTCTGCCGCTCGCCGGGGCCAGGCCCCGCTCCAGCCCCGAAGGTAACGCTGAGGTCCCGCGGCGCTTCCGGGGGGTCTGGCGGGCCTCCGTGCGGGAAGGGGGGTGGGAGGCACCGCGCGGACCTGAGGAGAGTAAGGCGGCAGGGCCGGGACCGGAAGGCGTGCGGCCGGCGGGCAGGCCGGACCGAGGGAGGGCGGGAGCTGTGCGAGACTAACGCCGCGCAGGGGCGCGCGCGGCCGGAAGCCGCGGAGGGAAAGTGGCGGGCTGGGCGCGGGGGTCGCCAGGGGGCGGGGCCGCGCGCCGGGGGCGGGGCTTCCATGCCCGTCACGTGACGGGCCTGGCGGTGGCGGCGGTAGCGGCCGCGGCGTCTTCGGCGGCGCCCAGTGCAGGATGTTGCTGGAGGCGGCGGTGGCGGCCCTGGTGGCGGCGGCGTCGTTGGCGGCAGCGGGAGGGGGTGCTGTGGCGACAGCGGCACCCGCGGGTGGTATAAAATGGCGGATTTCGAGGAGTTGAGGGTAAGCGGGGGCGCGGGAATGGAGAGCGGAGGCCGCGGGGGAGGGGAGAGGAGGCGGGGGAAGAAGCTACGTCGCCGGCCGCCGCCACCTTGCTGTGCGGGGACGGGTTTGAGGAGCCCGGAGTCCCGGCCCACCTCCGAGGGGGCGCCGCGGTGGGGGTGGGAGGGGAGCCAGGCGGCGGAGGGCGCCGGGCCGCGCGGGGCGGAGGGCCTGGGGCCCGGGGCGAGCGGCCAGCCGGTGTCCCCCCCCCCGCCACCCCCGGGCTCCTCACACCTGACGCGGGGGCCGGGCGTCCTCGGGAAGGAGGACGCGACCTCCCCGTTATTTTAAGGGCTGAGGTGGACCGCGAGGGCGCCCGTGTGGATGGCGATTCGCAAGTCCACAGGCTGCTGCTCACTTGGTGGGAGACTTGTTTCCCGAACGTGAAGTTGCGTTTCGGAGTTCCTCGCCCTCCGCCCTGGCTGAGGCTGCGGGTTAGTCAGCGGTGTCACGGGAAGGCCCCCGCCACCAGTGCTGCCTCAGCGTCTGGGAGGGAAGCGTGGTCTTGGGGGGAATCCTGCCTTCAGCCTCGACCCTGGATAGTCTCCCGGCGCCGCGGTAAGGAACCCGCACAGTCCGCGTTGTGCTGGGGTTTGTTTGTAAACTCGTCTCGGGAGCTCGGGAGGGACAGACATGTTTCCCCCCTGCCCCAGAGCAAGGTCGCCGCCGCTTGGTTGTTGATGCCTTGCTCAGTGGTTCTCAACCTTCCTGATGCCGCGACCCCTTCATACAGCTCCTCATGTTGTGGTGACCCCCAACCGTAACATTATTTTCGTGGCTACTCCATAACTGTAATTGCGCTACGGTGATGAATCGTCATGTAAATATCTGATGCGCAGGATGTATTTTCATTGTTGGCGACCCACAGGTTGAGAACCGCCGCGGGAGGTTCGGGATGGGGTGTGCAGGGGCTGGGGTGGAAAGCGTGTTCCCCCCTGACCTTCAGCGTCCTCGGCGGCACAAAACGGTGATGAACGAGCCGGGCTTATTTTTTTTTTTTTTTTTTTTTTTTTTACGGCTCGCTGAACGGCTGGCGACATAACTGGGACACTTAGGGACGGAAACCCCGATTTTAAAAACAAAGTCAAAAGTGGAGGTGAGAGTGAACTTGAAATGCAGGCAAATGCAAACCTAGTGTGTCACGCACGTCTGATGTCAGGGTTAACTTGAAAGAAGAAGGAAGAAGGAATCCGATAAGAGATTCGGTTTTGTATGCTTATTTATTTTGTTTATTTTTGGCGAGGGATAGAGGGTCAGGGAAGGATGCTGGCTGGTTACTTGGCTGGTGGACTTCAGCAAAAGAGCCGGTAGAGCGCGTCTCCCTGCGCCTGCGTCCGGGCGCACAGGAAACCAGCGATGAATACAAACATGAGGGGGACAACCAGTCGACGTTTCTCCCTTTCTTTCCTTGACGCGCGGTCTCTCTCTAAAGTCAGTGCATAAAAGGTGTTCATGACGATCAAGTAGACGGGCTTTAGTGTCTCAGAGCCCTGGCTCTAGAGCTTTTAACGTCTGTGGATCTTTTGGATGGAGCAGGCCTGAGCCTTACCTGTGCAGATTCATGCATTAAATTTAGGATGGCTTGAGAAGACTGAAGTTTGAAGTTAAGCTTCTTTTCTAACTGCAGTATTTTCTTAATTTTTGTGCATAACGGACGTATACCACTTTTTCCTCTTCTAAGGTATTTCGTTGGTGAAAACTTTTTCAAGTCTTGTCTTACACTTTTGTAACTTGTTGGTCAAAGCTTAGCAAAAAGCAGAGAATTTATGTACTGGGATAGGGCAGAGCAGGTGGTCAGTGCGTAGGTGGGAGCCGAACCAGGAACTGCAGAGTGGCTTGGAAACCAGAGAAGCTTTTCTCTTGTCTCTCTCCCTTTCCCCCTCCCATTTGTGTTCTGGGTCAGCTTCCTCATCTCTCTCTGTAAATCAGTTGTCACTGCTTCTCCCTGCCCTTGATCATTCCGGTGGGTTGAGGAAAGGAATGGGTCTGTTCTCTGTGAAGGGAAATTGTGGGCTGAATTACCAAAGATGATTATAATAATGCATCACGTATTAGAAGCTTCCAGGGCGTTCGAGGGAGAAATTATTCAATTCATCAGTTCCTTATTTTACAGCACTATTTTGGTAGGATTTTGTGGATAAACTAGTTTGCAAATTTAGTGAATTAACGTGGGACAAGCTTATAAGAGCTGATGCCTGGACTTCTGTCACTGCCACCCTGCTTTCTAGTCTCTAGCAGAGCCCAGCACAGAGGTGGAGGAGAGGCAAAATAGTCTGAAGACAAGACTTCAGAATTGGGGTTCTGAAGTCCCTCATCTCTTCTTCAGTCAAAGCAGCTTTTTACCCTTGTCTTTCTCCTCCAGTGCACCATTTCATGCTGGTGTCACCCTTCAGCCATCCTTAAAAAGGCCCCTGCTGCAATTTAACCTGGCTAATCTACTCTCCCTACTTACCTCCACTCAAGTGTAAGGGTAGAGGAGGATCTATTGTATTAAGATTTCTTTTTTAAAGAGTCTCTTTTCTGTATTCTTCACACCCTTTTGTGCATTGAGAATTTATTATCTCTGTGTGTGTCAAAACAAGAGTGAATGTTTAAGTGTCTGGGTGTGTATTTGGGCTAGTGAAGAAGAGCCAGTGATTATAACTTTTTTTAAAAAAATATATTTCTTTATTGATTTCAGAGAGGAAGGGAGAGGGAGAGCTAGAAACATCAATGAGAGAGAATCATTGATCGGCTGCCTCCTGCACGCCCCCCACTGGGGATGGAGCCTGCAACCCGGGCGTGTGCCCTTGGCCAGAATCGAACCTGGAACCCTTCAGCCCGTAGGCCGACACTCTATCCACTGAGCCAAACAGGCTAGGGCATTATAACTTTCTTTTTTTTTTTTTTTTTTAATTAAATCTTTATTGTTCAGATTATTACATTTGTTCCTCTTTTTTTTCCCCCCATAACTCCCCTCCTCCCAGTTCCCGCCCCACCCTCCGCCCTCACTCCCCACCCACTGTCCTCATCCATAGGTGCACGATTTTTGTCCAGTCTCTTCCCGCATCTCCCATACCCCTTTCCCCCCAGGAATAGTCAGTCCATTCCCTTTCTATGTCCCTGATTCTATTATAATCAACAGTTCATTCTGTTCATCAGATTATTTATTCACTTGATTCTTAGATTCACTTGTTGATAGATGCATATTTGTTGTTCATAATTTGTATCTTTACCTTTTTCTTCCTCTTCCTCTTCTTAAAGGATACCTTTCAGCATTTCATATAATCCTGGTTTGGTGGTGATGAACTCCTTTAGCTTTTCCTTATCTGTGAAGCTCTTTATCTGACCTTCAATTCTGAATGATAGCTCTGCTGGATAAAGTAATCTTGGTTGTAGGTTGTTGGTATTCATCACTTTGAATATTTCTTGCCACTCCCTTCTGGCCTGCAAAGTTTCTGTTGAGAAATCAGCTGACAGTCGTATGGGTATTCCCTTGTAGGTAACTGAGTTTCTTTCTCTTGCTGTTTTTAAGATTCTCTCTTTATCTTTTGCTCTTGGCATTTTAATTATGATGTGTCTTGGTGTGGTCCTCTTTGGATTCCTTTTGTTTGGGGTTCTCCGCGCTTCTTGGACCTGTAAGTCCATTTCTTTCACCAGGTGGGGGAAGTTTTCTGTCATTATTTCTTCAAATAGGTTTTCAATATCTTGCTCTCTCTCATCTTCTGGCACCCCTATAATTCTGATGTTGGTACGCTTGAAGCTGTCCCAGAGGCTCCTTACACTATCCTTGCATTTTTGGATTCTTTTTTCATTTTGCTTTTCCGGTTGGGTGTTTTTTGCTTCCTCGCATTTCAAATCATTGACTTGATTCTTGCGCTCCTCTGGTCTGCTGTCGGGAGTCTGTATAATATTCGTTATTTCAGTCCGTGTATGCTTAATTTCTAGTTGGTTCCCCAATATAAGATCGAGGGTTTCATTAGTTTTCTTGTAGATCTCATTAAGTTTATCGGCGGCTTCTAAACAGTTCTTGAGAGACCTTAAAAGTGTGGTTCTGAACTCTATATCTTCCATTGACAATTTTGTCCTGTTTCTTTGTCTCCGCATTTTGTTATGCTTCCTTGGTGCACCCCCTAGTGGTCTTTGTTCGCAGTCTTATAGTTAAATCTTGATTGTTGTAGCTAATTCCAGGGAGGGTTTGACCTCCAGGCCAAGTGGCTATGAGAATCAGCTGTGTCAGCAGTGAGAGAACTTCTGTCCTCTAGGGAGGTGCTAATCTGGCGTTTGCCTGAGGCTATCCGGCAAATGCCTGTGTGCAGGGCTTGGGCGGGGCGGGTCGCACAGGATCAACAGGGTGGGCCGGAGAGAGCAGTTATGGCGGCTCTCAGTCCTGTCCCCAGGGGCTCTGCCTCTCTGAGTCCCAGCACCCACTGCAAAGCTCGGAGAGAAAGCTGCACTCGCTCTGACCGAAGCCAGACAGTCCCGTTTCTCCCGTTTGAGTCTGGGTCCCTAAAGACTCGCCCGGATCTGGAGCTCAGAGTCTGCGACTCCCTCCCGATTGAAAACGCCAACCACACCCTCCGCTGCCAGCCCGCTCCGCGCACTCCGCACCTCAGAATTTGACTTCAGCACTGCGCCTCCTCTGAGTGTCCATATGCGTTTCTCTTTCCTCCTAGTTGTAGGACTTCCACTCAGCCAGCGTTCCTGTGGTTCTGGGTGATGTCCCTTCCGTTTTTTGGTTTCACTTTTGAAGTAGTTGTTCAAAGCAGCAAACTCCGGCGTTAACCTATGCCGCCATCTTGGTTCTCCCATTATAACTTTCTTAATAGGTACTGGTAAACCAGACACAGAAAATCTTTTATACTAAGAGGCTTAAGTAATTTTGTAACAGATTTTCTATTTGGAAGTCTTGAGTATTTGGTTCCTTACACCTAGTAGCACTGGCCATTCTGGTAGAGTAGAATGGGAAGTTAAGGGGGGTT